AGGCTGGATGGAGCATTTATAGTGTGATGGGTTAGCCCTTGGCTGGGGGCCAAAACCACACACCCGCTCACACAATTCCCACCCCCCATCCAAGCATAGGAGAGGGAGTTAAAGGGGTAAAGGGAGAAAAGGACTCATAGGTTGAGATAAGGACAATTTAATAACTAAACTACAATAATATTGAAAATAATACTATATACAAATATACAAATGAGTGATACACAGTGATACTGCCCCCCCGTTAATGACCCCGGTGCAGGGAGAGTCCCAAAACCACACTCACGATTCCCCCAGGAGGAGGGTGCACCATTCCCGGAGGCACTCACGGAATGGAGATAACAGTCCGAGGGTCCCAGACCGAGAGCTGACCGGGGGGGAGGGGGGAAGGCCTTGGGAGAGCGACCACCTGGAGCAAGATGATCCGGAGCCAAGAGAGATGCGGAAACCAAAGGGACCCAGAACTAAAGGGTCGATCTTCCGGAGGGTCCTCACCTATATACTGGGCATGACGTGTATGTTATGGAATAGATTATTGGTCACTCTGGGTTTCAACCCTGAACCTAAGATCAAATCCTAGGCTAGCAACCGGCTGTGCTTCCTCCCAGCCTCCCTGGTCTGCCGACCTTGGCAGCAGCACGAAACATCGCTTCTTATCAGCTTTCTTCCAAGCACAAATCCAAAACACAGCCTCTTGCTAGCTATTACGAATAAAGTTAACCCTGTCTCTGCTTAACACAGGACAATAGTCAGGCTGTGAGGATGGTTTACATGTGAACTCATGGCCTATAGAGCTGTGGGAGGCTGGAGTACTCTTGGTAGAGGCAGAAAATCTACAAAATTTAACCATGCAGCTGTTTGTCATCCATTGCATCAAACTGGCAGTTTAAGCCACCATCACAGATTTCTGTGTGTTGACCTATTTTTCTCATTCTTCTTCAACAGTATTTGCCAGTATTTGCCAGCCTCCTCTTGCTCTCTTTTTGTACTGGTACCCAGTACAAAAGCTGCCTCTGCATGTCAGCAGTGCCCTCATGAAAAGTCTTTGGGATTGCAGTCTTCACATCAGCTCTGCTGCACTTCCCTCAGGTACCTCCACAGTCAAGACACAGAAACCACCATACTTCTGTGATAATTCAGAGGCAGTAAATACCAGTGGGACTGGCATTTACTTCAGGATGATGTTGTTCATCCTGATCATCATTCTTCTACTGATACTGCCAGTCTCATCAATCCTGGCATGTGCTGTGGTTGCCTCCTTTAGTTTTGCTTTTATTTCACACAGTTATTCCCATACCACCAGGCACAGATCTGGGGGAGGAGAGGTGGCAACTGTAGCTATATCCTCCTTACTAAAACCATCCATTGCTGCACTGCTTCCAAACAAGCAACAGCCTTTATTTGAAAAAGTTGCAAGGAAAGAAAAAAAAAATATTTTCCCTTTCTGCATAACTGACCTTTGCCGCCTCA